TTGTCTAATTGGGCTTTTGTTGCCATTGCTTTTGGTGTTTTAGCCACGAAGTCCTTGCCTATGCCTATATCCCGAATGGTTTTGCCTAGGTTTTCTTATAGGGTTTTTATGGTGTTAGGTCTTATTTAGATCTTTAATCCATCTGGAGTTAATTTTAGTGTAAGGTATCAGGAAGGGGTCCAGTTTCTGCTTTCTGTACATGGCTAGCCAGTTTTCCAATATCATTTATTAAACAGGGAATCCTTTCTTCACTGCTTGTTTTTGTCAGGTTTGTCAAAGATCAGATGATTGTAGATGTGTGGTGTTGCTTCTGAGGCCTCTGTTCTGTTCCATTGGTCTATGTCTATGTTTTGGTACCAGTACCATGCTGTTTTGATTACAGTGGCCTTGTAGTATAGTTTGAAGTCAGGCAGCATGATGCCTCCCACGTTGTTCTTTTTGCTTAGGATTGTTTTGGCTATGGGGGCTCTCTTTTGGTTCCATATGAAGTTTGAAGTGGTTTATTCCAGTTCTGTGAAGAAGATCATTGGTAGCTTGATGGGGATAGTGTTGAATCTATAAATTACTTTGGGCAATATGGCCGTTTTCACGATGTTGAGTCTTCCCAATCGTGAGCATGGAATGTTTTTCCATCTGTTTGTGTCCTCTCTTATTTCATTGAGCAATGGCTTGTAGTTCTCCTTGAAGAGGTCCTTTACATGCTCTGTTAGTTGTATTCCTAGGTATTTTATTCTCTTTGTAGCAATTGTGAATGGGAGTTCACTTTTGATTTGGCTCTCTGTTATTGGTGTATAGAAATGCTTTGATTTCTGCACATTGATTTTGTATCCTGAGACTTTGCTGAATTTGCTTCTCAGTTTCAGGAGATTTTGGGCTGAGATGATGTGGTCTTCTAAATATACAATCATGTCATCTGTAAATAGAGACAATTTGGCTTCCTCTTTTCCTAATTGAATACCCTTTATTTCTTTTTCTTGCCTGAGTGCTCTGGCTAGAACTTCCAATACTATATTGAATAGGAGTGGTGAGAGAGCACCTTCTTGTCTTGTGCCAGATTTCAAAGGGAATGCTTCCAGTTTTTGCCTGTTCAATATGATATTGGCTGTGAGTTTGTCATAAATAGCTTTTATTATTTTCTGATATGTTCCATTGATACCTAGTTTATTGAGGGTTTTTAGCATAAAGGGCTGTTGAATTTTGTCAAAGACCTCTGCGTCTGTTGAGATAATCATATGGTTTTTGTTTTTGGTTCTGTTTATGTGATGCATTATGTGTATAGACTTGCGTATTTTGAACCAGCCTTGCATCCCCAGGATAAGGCCTACTTGGTCATGATAAATAAGCTTTTTGATTTGCTGTTGCATTGTTTGCCAATATTTTATCGAACATTTTTGCGTCGATGTTCATCATGGATATTGGCCTAAAGTTTTCTTTTTCAGTTGTCTCTCTCCCTGGTTTTGGTGTTAGGATGATGATGGTCTCATAAAATGATTTGGGAAGGATTCCCTCTTTTTGTATTGTTTGGAATAGTTTCAGAAGGAATGGTACCAGCTCCACTTTGTACGTCTGGTAGAATTCGGCTGTAAACCTGTCTGGACCTGGGCTTTTTTTAGTTGGTAGGCTTTTAATTGCTGCCTCCACTTCAGCGCTTGTTATTGGTTCTATTCCGGGTTTCAACTTCTTCCTGGTTTAGTCTTGGGAGAGTGCAAGTGTCCAGGAATTTATCAATTTCTTCCAGATTTACTGGTTTGTGTGCATATAGTTGTTTGTAGTAATCTCTGATGGTAGTTTGTATTTCTGTGGAATCGTTGGAGATGTCCCTGTTTTCATTTTTTATTGCATCTATTTGATTCTTCTCTCTTTTCTCTTTTATTAGGCTGGCTAGCAGTCTTATCTATTTTGTTGATCTTTTCAAAAAACAAGCTCCTGGATTTGTTGATTTTTTTGAAGGCTTTTTTTGTGTGTGTGTCTCTGTCTCTTTTAGTTCTGCCCTAATCTTAGTTATTTCTTGTCTTCTGCTAGCTTTTGAATTTTTTTGATCTTGTTCCTCTAGCTCCTTCAATTTAGATGATAGGGTGTTGATTTTACACCTTTCTTTGCTCCTCATATGGGCATATATTGCTATGAATATATGAATCCTCTTGACACTGCTTTAAGTGTGTCCCAGAGATTCTGGTATGTTGTGTCTTTGTTCTCGTTGGTTTCAAAGAACATCTTTATTTCTGCCATCATTTCATTGTTTATCCAGTTGACCTTTGGGAGGCAGTTGTTCATTTTCCATGAAGTTATGTGGTTTTGAGTTTTTTTCTTAATCCTGAGTTCTAATTTGATTGCACTGTGGTCTGAGAGAATGTTTGTTATGATTTCCGTTCTTTTGCATTTGCTGAGGAATGATGTACTTCCAATTATGTGGTCGATTTTAGAGTATGTGTGATGTGGTGCTGAGAAGAATGTATATTCTATGGATTTGGGGTTAAGAGTTCTGTAAATGTCTATTAAGTTCGCTTGGTCCAGCTCTACATTCAAGTCCTGCATTTCCTTGTTGATTTTCTGTCTCTTTCATCTGTCCAATATTGACAGAGGAGTGTTAAAGTCTCCCACTGTTATTGTGTGGGAGCCTAAGTCTCTTGGTAGGTCGTTAAGGACTTGCTTTATGTGTCTGTGTGCTCCTGCATTGGGTACATATATATTTAGGATAGTTAGTTCTTGTTGCATTGATTCTTTTATCATTATGTAATACCATTGTTTGTCTCTTTTGAACTTTGTTGGTTTAAATTTCATTTTATCAGAGACTAGGATTGCCACCCATGCTTTTTTCTGCTCTTCATTTACTTGGTAATCTTCTTCCATCCTTTTATTTTGAGCCTATTTGTGTCTTTGCATGTGAAATGGGTCTCCTGAATACAGCACACTGATGGTTCTTGGCTTTTTATCCAATTGGCTGGTCTGTGTCTTTTGATTGGGGCACTTAGCCCATTTACATTTAATGTTAATATTGTTATGTGTCACTTTGATCCTGCTGTTTTATTACTGGTTGGTTGTTTTGCCCTTTGGTTGGCATAATATTTTCATTGCGTCTTTGGTCTTACCATTTGGTTCTTTTTTGCAGTGGCTGGTGGTGGTTTTTCCTTTCTGTGTTTAGTGCTTTCCTCGGGAGCTCTTGTAGGGCAGGTCTGGTAATGACAAAATCTCTCAGCAATTGCTTGTCCGTAAAGGATTTTATTTCTCTATCACTTATGAAGCTTAGTTTGGCTGGATGTGAAATTCTGGGTAAGAGATAAGCCTGTACCCAGTTGCCCAGGCTGGAGTGCAGTGGTATGATCCTAGCTCACTGCAGCCTCAAACTCCTCTGCTCAGGCAATCCTCCTGCTTCCACCTCCCAAGTAGCTGGGACTACAGGTGTGCACTACTGTGCCTGGCTAATTTTTAAATTTTTTGTAGAGACAGAGTCTCTTTTTGTTTCCCAGGCTAGTTTTGAACTGTTGGCTTCAAGCAATTCTCCTGCCCCAACCTCTCAACATGCTGGGATTACAGGTGTGATCCACTATGTTTGGCTTCCCATATACTTTAAATACATTATTTATAATACCTAATATAGTATATATGCTATTTAAATAGTTGTTTTGTTATTGTATTTTTTTTTTCCAAATCTTTTTTATTTGAGGTTGGTTGAACCTGCAGATGTAGAACTTGTGGATATGGAGGTCCAACTGTATTTGTCATTTTCATCTTCAATTTCATATTTATTTCAGTGAAATACCTTGCTTGGTCAAGTCTGAGTTTCAAACAATTGTGTATCAAAAATATTTGAGTTTCAAAAAATTTTGTAAATACAAACATTTTAGAACTGCTTATTATTTTTATAGTTATCTTGTGGTGAACTTTTTTTTTTTTTTTGAGGCAGAATCTTACTCCATTGCCCATGCCTGGGTGCAGTGGCATGATCTCAGCTCACTGCAACATCTGCCTCCCAGGTTCAAGCAATCCTCCTGCTTCAGCCTCCCAAGTAGCTGGGAGTACAGGTGTGCACCACCATGCCAAGCTACCTTTGTATTTTTAGTAGAGATGGGGTTTTGCCATGTTGGCCAGGTGTCAGACTCCTGACCTCAGGCGATCCACCCACTTTGGCCTCCCAAAGTGCTGGGATTACAGACATGAGCCACCATGCCTGGCCAACCTTTTATAAATGGAATAGTTTTTCATGACATTTATGAAAAAGCAGATTTTATTTTTCAAATTTTGTTGAAGGGGAAGCCAACCATTCCTTTTTGTTGAGATATATATTTGAAATGGATCTTTTATTTTTCCTTATAAAATCCCTTTATAAACCCTTTTTTAAGTTAAATTTAATTTTTTTATTATACTTTTAACTTTTGGGGTACATGTGCAGAACATGCAGGTTTGTTACATAGGTATACACGTGCCATGGTGGTTTGCTGCATCCATCACCCCGCCATCTACATTAGGTAGATGTAGATGTAGATGTAGCATTTCTCCTAATGCTATTCATCCTCTAGCCCCCCCCCCCACCTCCTGCTATCCCTCCCCTACCCCCCCACCCTCTGACAGGCCCCAGTGTGTGATGTTTCCCTCCCTGTGTCCATGTGTTCTCATCATTCAACATCCACTTATGATTGAGAACATGCATAAACCCTTTTTAAAATAAGGGTTTTATAAGGTGAAACAAATATGGTTCATTGTGACAACCTAGAAATTAACCTAGATTTTCTAGCAAAATATTACTTTAGAATTTAGAGTATTAACTTAAAGCTTAATTATTGAATCCTTACTCTCTACAGACACAGTTTTAGGTGCTTTATAAACCACTAGCTTATTTAATCCTCATAGGAATCTTAACATTTTTATTATTCTCATTTTGTAGATGAGGAAACCAAGGCTTAGGGAAATTACATAACTGCCCAAGGTTGTACACGCTAGCACATGGCAGAGCTGGGATTCAACCCTGGTATGTCTGACTCTGCAGCCCAAATCACCACATTCCCTTGTGAGCTCATACTCTATGAGAGACGAATTTGTAAGAAAGGTTATTTTATAAAAGATTCATTCTTTGTAAGTTTTTCAATCATTACACTTATAGTCTTTCCACCCTTGGATAGAGGACATATCAGATATTAAACTGATAAGAACAGATACTATACTTGATCTTAGCCAAAAGGCCAAGAAGTGATCTCTTTTCCTGCCCCCACTTGGGAAGAGTGGCCATATTTGTGAAATCAAGGAAAATATTTTTTAAGTATTTAAGAATTACTAATTTTACAAGTTTCTGGATATGGATTGAGACATAAAATCATATAATTTGATCCTGAAATAAACTATTTATTTAGAATTCAGAGCTATCTGTATCATAAAGCAATTCTGTCTCTTTTTAAAAAAATGTTGGTCATATGTTCAGATTGACCAACATTTGAGATTTCTTTAGTTTCCAAGTAAAGCAGGGCTTTCTTCCTTACTCCTTAAGAAACAACCCTCTAATGTTTTACATGATAGGTTGTAGGATATGACAATATAACATCATGTTCTTTATCTGACTTCTGTAATCAAAAGGTTTTACAAATTTAAGTACTGAGAGTGTCATACCACATAAGGCATAGATTTTTTAAGCCTAAAATACCACCATGTAAAACAAGAGTGATTCAGCTAAGTGCATATATTTTAAAGCAGCTTCCCTACTTATGCTGCTACTGTGCTGTAGTATAAACAAATCACTGAAGGTACTTCCCCAGGTATCTCTGAGTTTGTTTGGGTTTGTCTTGTTAATTCTTGCCTAGAGGTGTGCAATTGTTTTCTCCTTCTTAAGTTCAATTAAATTAAGAAAACTCTTTTTTAAGCAGCTTGAGGCTATTATAATGGAGTGTTGATGTTAATGGATTTCCTTCTTAATTTCCAAACAGAGCATCATTTTGCAGATGTCGTACTTAGTGAGGAATTTCTCAATCTTGGCATTGAACAAGTGTGCAGCTTAATCTCAAGTGACAAACTTACCATTTCCTCAGAAGAGAAGGTAAGGATATTTTTCTTTTCCCAGCATGCAATGATGTTTCCTTTTTTTTTTTTTTTTTTTAATTTCACTTTGTTTTGTAGCTTTGTGATCCTGTATGTGTAGTGGCACCCAGTGATGTTTCCTCTGGAAGTTAAGAAACTTAGCTAGTTACTTCAGGAAAGGATTCTGGAGAAAAAAAAGAAACTCAGGACTTGTTGATTGTCTATGTAAATTACTCTGTGTCTTCACTTTGTGGGAGGTTCACTACATTTTTAGACGTAGAGTTTTGTACTTGACCTCCACAGCAAGAGCTTGTGCACGTTAAACTATCTGAAATAAATGCTTTTTTGGAAACCAGTTTCTTCCTACAACTTGATGTGTATAGGAATTACGATATGAACACAATATTTGTTACTGAAGTAGTGTCCCTGTCTTCTGAGTTGAAAGAGGTTACCTAGAATGGCAAAGTGTTGGTAGTTCTAGACTGAGCATTCTTGATTGTCACCTTCCTTTAGGTTGGTTGATGGTCACCTTCCTTTAAGTTAGTTCTCTGTGACGTAATACCTCACTCTGCCAGTCGGTCCATCCTTCCTGCCTCCCTCCCTTTCTCCCTCTCTGTGCAGCTACTGCTTCTGATTGTAGTCTTTTGTCTCTCCACATTTTGGGTTGCCTTTGTCAGCCACCTGCACTTTTCATATGGCTGGAGAGAGAAGCTCCTGTTAGTGGGCTGTTTTTCTTTGGGTAGGTTTTGTAGCACATGGAAATCAGAGCACAAAAACTGTGAAAACATTGTGCTTAGAGGAAATGAAACTTGAGTTTCTCCTTTATGTGCTTTGCATTTAAAGTTGTGTAAACTCTGATTCTCTTTCTCAAGGATATTCATTTCATCTGGGGGTAAAAGACACATTTACTCTAATATTTACATTATTAAAAAATGTGAAAGTGTTTGTGAGATATATAATATTAGCATACTAGAAATACAGAGGATGATGACGTTAACTGTTCACTTTTAATAGACAGGTATTGAGTGCCTATTTTGTACCAGACACTGGCATGGGCTCCTGGAGAAGAGTAGCAAAATAGAATTTGTTACCCATAGACTAGTGAAACAGCCAGTAGGGTAAATAATTGATTACAGAATGCTGTAAAGGGTACCGTGGGAGTATTTGTTTTTTCCAGGGATGGGGATAGGGATGGGGATGGTAGTTCAGCTTGGCTCAGATATATATTTCAAGTCTTTTATGAGTCTGAGTTTGCCAGAGAAATAGGGATGGGTGGGAATGCAGAGGGCATTCCAGCTAAAAGAAGCAGAATATACAAATGTAAAGATGTGTGAAAGAATAATTGTATTCAGTGTGTTCAGGATGATGGGAATTTAGAATATCAGAGAGTGGTGGAAGATAAAATAGGAAGATGATATAATAAAATATCTTCTCAGTTATGTTAGAGAAAACTAATTTTATTGTAGTGATGAAGACCCTTAGAAGGGTTTTAAACAAGAGGAGAAAACCATGCTAAAACCTGTATTATAGAAATATCATGAGGGCTGTTGTGGTTTTCTGCTGCTACCTAAGTCATTACAAAATGTAAAAACATAAACAATAACCATTTTATTATGCTGACAATTCTATGGTCAGAATTCATGCAGAACAATAAGGACAGCTTGTCTCTGCCCCACAGTGTATGAGGCCTTAGCTAAGGTGACACAGATGGCTGGAGATATCTGGCATGGTTCTATTGTAGCCATAGATCTGGAGCTTCAGTTCTTCTGCACATGGCATCTTATGGATCTGTAATGCCCAGTCTGTCTCCTCCACTCACTTTTGTCTGGCTCCTGGGCTCAGGATTGATTGATCTTTCTCTAGGTCTTCCTCTCTCTCCCCTCCCTTTCTTCTCTGTAACTTGCTTGGGTTTCTCATGGCGTGGTGGTTTCAAGTAGCCAGACTTCTTTTTTTTTTTTTTGCCATTTATTTATTTTATTGCATTTTAGGTTTTGGGGTACATGTGAAGAACATGCAAGATTGTTGCATAGGTACACACGTGGCAGTGTGATTTTCTGCCTTCCTCCCCATCACCTACATCTGGCATCTCTCCCCTTGCTATCTCTCCCCAAATCTCCACCCCCACTGTCCCTCCGCTATTTCCCCCCAACTGACCCCAGTGTGTAGTGCCCCCCTCCCTGTGTCCATGTGTTCTCATTGTTCAACACCCGCCTGTGAGTGAGAACGTGCGGTGTTTGATCTTCTGCTCTTCTGTCAGTTTGCTGAGAATGATGGTTTCCAGGTTCATCCATGTCCCTACAAAGGACACAAACTCATCGTTTTTGATTCAAGCAGCCAGACTTCTTACATGACATTTGGCTTCCTTCAAATGAGCATTTCAAGAGACCAAAGTAAAAGTAGCGAGGCTGCTTAAGACCTGCCTTCAGAAATCACAGTGTCACTTCGTCCACACCCTACTGGTTACACAGGGCCAGCTTAGATTCAGTGTGGAAGGTTCCTGTATAAGGGTATGGTTCTGGGAGATGTGGTTTATTAGGAGATTATCTTTGGAGACTAGCTATCGTGGTGGTGGGCAGAATAGACCAAAAGTGAGATGAGGGCCAGATAAGAGGATGTTGGACTCATACCAGGGAGCAGTAGGTTTTGATGTGGGATGGTAGAAGCAGGGGGTAGAGAAGACAGAACTGAGAAATATTAGATAGAATTGCCAGAAAGCAAACTGTCTTGTTCACATAATCTCTAGCACCTGACACATAGTGACACTTGATAAATACTTGTTGACAGAATGGATTAAATAGGGGTGGTAATTTTAATGTGCATTGTTTTTAGTTTCTTGCTTTATTCCTGGATCAAAATAACCTATTTTTAGTCTCAGCCATTTGCATATTGTCAAACATTTCTTGTAAACCTTTAAAGAGTATTAAGTGATATATTCATGAGTTGAAAAGGAAATAATGTAGACAGTGTCTTCATATTAGCTTATTAGCTTTCTCACAGTATGTATCGTAAATGATAATGCCTTTATTTTTTAATTTGTAAAAAAAATTTCAAAATACCACATTTTAATATATTCTACTCTTACAGTCTGTTCCCCAAACCCTCAATTTATGTGTATAGCCTAACATTTGTTTGTAAACCTGAAGAAAAAGCCAAACCTGACTTATTTATAGGGTACATGATTTTCATTCCACAATATCACTTTGCTTTATTATTTTGGGTAAATAGAAAAGGAATAGGGTGAATGACTTTGTAAGTACATTGCAAGTCAGGATTTTGAAAACATTTGAGCTGTGAATTAAATTTGGAAGTCTTAGCAAGAATTGTATATAAAATATTGTCTCATAGTTTATCCAGATGCCTTGGTACACAATTCATTTCTTATTTTTTCTTCTCCTGTATTTTCTGCAAGGTATTTGAAGCAGTAATTGCATGGGTGAACCATGACAAGGATGTGAGGCAAGAGTTTATGGCCCGACTGATGGAACATGTGCGGTTACCCTTGCTTCCTCGGGAATATTTAGTTCAGGTAAATGTGTATGCAAAACATACAAATCCACATAGCACCATGTCACTGTCCTGACAGCATGTAGATCCCTATCAAGCAGTGATAAGAGCTGTAGAATGCAGATCTGTGAAGTACAGGACAGAAGACAGTCAAGGACCTTGCAGGCTTGAGTGCAGTGGCACTATCTCAGTTCACCACAGCCTCCACCTCCCGGGCTTAAGCAATTCTCATACCTCCGCCTATGGAGTAGCTGAGACTACAGGTGCGCACTACAGCCTTGGCTAATTTTTGCATTTTTGGTAGAGATGTGGTTTTGCCCTGTTGGCCAGACTGGTCTCAAACTCTTGACCTCAAGTGATCTGCCCACCTCGGCCTCCCAAAGTACTGGGATTATAGCCATGAGCCACCACGCCCAGCCGCCGTTCCCCGCTCTTAGAAGTTTGCTTCTGCCCCCGTTTTTGATTTGGGTAAGTAAGCTCTGGAACTTACCAAGGTAGTATTTGTGGTCATTTAAATGCATGCAAGTAAATGTCCCTGTGGCAGTCACTGCTTTGCATCTTCTTTACCGTTTTTTCTTTTTATAGCCTCTTCTGATTCCCCTGCAGACCTGGAATTTTGAGGTCTGACCCAAATACTGTTTAATTTTACTTCATAATTTAATAGTGGCATGCATTTGATTTCTGTCTTTATTTCTAAGCTGAGGGAAAATGTTATTTGAAATAAATATGAATAAATGATTCTTTAGTGGTCTCCAAATAATTTTAAATTTGCTCTTTTATTATTAGAATCCTAGTAGGAACATTTCAGCATTATTTTAATAGTTGAGACCATTGGAAGAATGATTTATTAAGACATTAGATTTGAACATTTTAGGATTTCTTGAAACCACATTACTTTTTGTGATCTGTGTAGTCATGGGTCTTCTGGTATTAAGAAAATTATCCAAAAGGCTGGGTGCAGTCAATGGCTCACATCTGTAATCCAGCACTTTGGGAGGCTGAGGCAGGCAGATCGCATGAGGACAAGAGTTCGACACCAGCCCGGCCAACATGGCAAAACCCCATCTCTACTAAAAATAAAAAATTAGCCAGACATGGTGGCAGGCATCTGTAGTCCCAGCTACTCAAAAAGGCGAGGGAAGAGAATTGGTTAAACCCGGCAGGTGGGGTTTGCCAAGATTGTGCCACTGCACTCCAGCTTGAGCCACAGAGTGAGACTCTATCTCCAAATAAAAAAAAGAAAATGAACCCAAAAGCCTGTCCTGCATTTGATGTCAGGCTAGGCAGTACAAGACTTATTTGTGTTATAGGCACATTGCTTTAAGGTTTTTTTAATCTCTCTTCTGTATGTTTTACTGGCTCACTTGTGTTTGAAAAAGGTATCATTAACTTACTAGTATTGCCTTCTCCACCTGAAGGATGCATTATCTAACTTTTGTTTCTTGTTTTTCTTACTTTTTGGCTTGATGGTTAAAGTTAAAAAACAGGAGATTATAATATCTAAAGAGTTCATCGTATTCTATAGCTAACATTGAAGTTTATCATTTTTCATTGCAGTTCTTCTCTTTATTACCTAAATATGTTATTCTCTGCAGGCCAGATACTTGAGCATTTTTTGTTTTATTTATTTTTCTCTTAGTTGTATTTATACTTTCCTCATTTATGTTTAGACTAAACTAAAGGGCATAGTTAACCTTTTTTCCTCTCCTTTACTTCCTTTTCTTCGGCAATTTATGAAATAGCTCTACCTTCAGGGCGTGTGTATGATTTCTTGTTACAGAGGGTTGAAGAGGAAGCATTGGTCAAGAATAGCAGTGCTTGCAAAGATTACCTCATTGAAGCAATGAAGTATCATCTGCTGCCGACAGAGCAGCGTATATTAATGAAGAGTGTCCGGACCCGGCTGAGGACACCCATGAACCTTCCCAAAGTACGATTGTTGCTCATGCATGTTATTACCTCATGCAAAAGGCTTGTAGTGAAGCTGTTAGTACTTTGCTCATCTGAATTTCCATGATTTATTCTTTGTTTTAGTTTTCCTTTAAGAGAAAACATGCCTAATAATGCACTGTAGTGTATGTAATTCAACCTCTATTGATTTTATATGTTAAGGGCGGGGATTGTTTGGTTCATTTAATTTTTATAAACTGCATGATGTCACTCTTCTGGAACAGAATACAACTGGTTTTTGTCCCCTGAGTTTTATTAGCTCTAATTATAGTAGAATGCTCTAATGATAGTCTAAAGAAAAAAAGCAGACTAGGTAGAAAGATTTCTCTGTAGACCGGGGGCGCTGTGGTTCATACCTGTAATCCCAGCACTTTGGGAGGCTGAGGCTGATGGATCACCTGAGGTCAGGAGTTCAAGACCAGCCTAGCCAACATCGTGGAACCTTGTCTTTACTGAAAATACAAAAATTAGCCGCATGTGGTGGCAGGCACCTGTAATCCCAGCCACTAGGGAGGCTGAGGCAGAGAATCACTTGGACCCAGGAGGCAGAGGTTGTAGTGAGCCGAGATTGTGCTACTGCACCCTGGCCTAGGCAACAGTGCATGAGGCTCCATCTCAAAAAAAGGAAAAAACAAAAAAGAAAAATTTCTTTGTAAGCTAGGTGTTTATTTCACAACTGAAAACCCAGTAGTTGCACAGAATTACACATTAGAACTACGGATGATCAAATAGCTTGTTCAGTTCATCTCATTGCTGTTCCCTGTTGTATACCATTTGATGGTTTCCTGCACATCATAAGTAGCCATTTCAGCATAGATTCCCATGTCTTCCCATGTCTCTCGTGTTCATATTTTCCTATGTAAATGTTTATATTCACTTTTGTCTTTTTAGCTGTGGCCATTCATGTTTTACTGATTTAATTTTTCTTACAAAATAACGCCTCATTTCTGTCTCTGTTGGCAATTCCTTCTGCTCTGTTTACATCTTTATAGTACGACCAATACTTTAAGCACCATTTTGTGCGTGATCTAATCAGACTGATTCATAATATAAAGCCTTTATTTATGTATTTATTTTTAACTCTTGTGTATGTTTTGGGCAATGCTGGATGAAGAAATAAGAATGTTATCTCCTGTTTTCTTATGTCATATTTAGTTATTACTCTATCCTTTCCATTGAATTATGTTTTTAAAATTCACTTTATACTTTTACTTAATATTTTTCTAAGTTTTACTTTAGAGTCTACGTGTTTAATTGCTGCAAATATATATTGGTATTGTTTTTCTGTTTTGCCTATTACCAACAACAGTTCTCAGTTTAAAACTAACTGCAGATTTGCCAGGGTGCTACTGACTTATTTTTCTAGATCGGTAATAACTATTTTAACTTAGAATTAATCTCAAAACTCTCTTGGTGACACTTTGTTAGAAGTACCCAGCCACTGACGCAGTCTTTTTGTGGAAAGTTTTATTCTATATGATTATGTTTATTATCTAAGCCAAAATAAGTAATTTAGTGTATAACGTCTGATGAGGTTGAGGATCAAATGGATTCAAATTTGGCATGACTTTTAAAAATATCCTTCTGCGTGTTATTTTATCGGCCCCTAGAAGTTCAAATTCTTTTCTCAAAATCTTCTAAATTTTTACTCAGAATTATTATTAGGTTAAAAAGTGTATTTACAAGGCATTCACTTCCTATCCTGCTTTGAAAATTGGTGTTTGCTTTCTTTAAGTTTTCTGATCTCTTCTCAGTTCTCCAAGATTTTTTGAAAATAATTATAAGAGACTCAGTAAGTACATTAGCTAGTTCCCTTAATACCTCAGTATTGATGCCATCTGGATCTGCTTTTATACATGTTTACATTTTTTAAATACCCTTATACCTGATTTTATAAGTACCCATCTTTTAAGTCTTCATTAATTCATATTTGTTCATCTTATTTGGTGTCAGTTTTTGTTCTTAGAAAAAAATCCATTCATAAAAATTGCTCAGTCTTGGCAGTAAATTTAAGGTTGCCATTTATTTTATGCTAGTCTTTTCCAATTCCTTCTAAATAATGTTATATCTTTAATATTTATTAAATACTTCATATTTGTAAAAAAGAATTTCCACTTGCATATTCCTTCTTCTGGCATTTAAACTTTCCTATCTTTAGCTATGCTGCAGAGATCTTTAGAGTGAAAATGAATTCATTTTTGATTCCTGGAATAAGCATGTCATTTTTGAAACCTTCTAGAGTGTTTGGTGAAATCCTATCAAGTACTTTACTTTCTGTTTTGTGGTGGTGTGGTCATCTATTCAATTTGCATTGTTTCTGGGCTTCTCTGGTTGTGGTTTTGGAGTAGGGCTCCTATAGATGTGTTATACTTTTAGATTTCTCAGTTCTCTAGCTGTTATTTGTGGTGGGCATCTGGGGCCCTGGCGGTTCTCTTTCATTCAGCTCTATCAGTGTGGCGGGAGGGGCAGCAGGCCTGCTGGATAGCAGTGAGCAGCCCTGTTGCTTTGACTTTGCATGTTCACTTGCATAATCCCTTCTCAACGTGTTTGTTATCCACACATATTTTAAAAACGGTGCTGGTGATTAACGATTTTCCAACACAACATTTGTCATTTTACAGTTGTTATGTTCAGATTAATTCTAAGGATTTGGGTAAGAATGATGCAAAGATTAATTTCTTATGCTTGTTAAATAGTAATGATGCATTTTATCACAATAATGAGCCAAATTGAACAAAATCTGGTAGTCGTGCTGAAGAAATTATTGTAAGGTTTTGATAATATTTTACCATGAGAGTAAATTAGTAGTTTTTATATTAGGCACTGATTTTGTAAATTCATACTAATTTGCATGAATTATTCTTTTTATATATCAGACATTAGTTTTGGCTTCCCAGTAAACAGACTGTATAAGGCAACCTTGGATTTGTACAACATAATGAAAGTTATGTATATTTTGCTGCTTTTGCATTTTGTTAGCTGTTCTCTTTGGAATCTATATTTTTGTAAGTGTTGTCATACTTCTGGGTATATATTATATTTTTAAAATATTTTTACTCAGCATATCTATTGAAATTTTCAATTAGAAACTTGATTTTTCAGGAGTTAATTTTCAGCTAATAGGCCAAAAGAACAAAGTTTAATTAACCTACATTTCAGGATGATTACTTGAATTTGTTTAACTTCCTACCCCTTGACCTCTTCAAATATGTTACCTTTAACTTTTCCCTATAAAAGGTCTTCTTTTCTTGTTGCTTCATAGCATGGTGTTCCCGAAATATCTGTGTCTTTTACAGATAACTGGGTGTCAGCATTATGAGCATCTCTTTTAGTAGCCATACAATGGTTTGTGGCACAGTCTCTTGGTTTTATATAAATATTCCTGCCTTCTTGTCCTTGTCTCCTTAATCTCTGATTCCTGGAGACCCAAATCATCACCCCATTTTACCTCTCTTGGGTGAGTAAAGGACAGATATTACTATTGTTCTGTGTAGGTAATAGCACATTTTCCTTTTCATCTTTATTTTAATGTGTAAAAGTGAACTATTGCATGGAAATGGAAATCTTAATATTCAGAGTTTGAGGATTATAAAATCTATAACTCAGCATTGTTTCTCAAAAAGTTTAAAAAGTGTTCCCTTCTGAAATTTTAGAAAGATTGGTCTTCATCAGATATATCATCTAAGACTCTTTTAACTATTGTCTGTTGGGTAGTTTTGAAATTTTGAACAGAACCTGAAATACAAGGTTTATCTTAACGTGCATCCCAATTCTGTGATTTTTAGAACCTTGCTTCCCCACCTTTTTTGGGGTGGTCAGAGGAAGAGGGTATTGCATATTTTCATTATTAATTATATTTATTTTATTTATTTTTTGAGACAGAGTCTCACTCTGTCACCCAGGCTGGAGTGCATTGGCACAATCCTTCTGCCTTAGCCTCCCAATTAGTTGGGATTACAGGTATGGGCTACCACACCTGGCTAATTTTTGTATTTTTGGTAGAGGTGAGGTTTCCCCATGTGGGCCAGGCTGGCCTTACTCTCCTGACCTCAAGCGATTTCCCAAAGTGCTGGGATTACAGGAGTTAGGAGCCACTGCGTCCGGCCAACCAAAATGTTGATTGGTTGTTTGTGAGACAGAGTCTCACTGTGTTGCCCACACTGGAGTGCAGTGGTGCAATCTCAGCTCATGGCAACTGCCGCCTCTCGGGTTCAAGTGATTCCTGTGCCTCAGCCTCCCAAGTAGCTGGGATTACAAGCACGTACCACCATGCCCAGCTAATTTTTATTTTTGTTATTTTGTTTGTAGAGACGGGGCCTTGCTGTTAATCAGGCTGGTCTCGAACTCCTGAGCTCCTGATCTGCCCACTTCAACCTCCCGAAGTGCTGGGATTACAGACGTGAGCCACCACACCCAGCAAATTTTGTTTATGTATTTATTTGAATTCAACACTAGAAGAATAACAGACCTGAAAAAAAAAATATGTAGTTGGTTTATGTTCAGTCTTCTTTTAAGATTTTTAAGATTTGTTCTGCTCTCCAGTTACCAAATAAATAAAATAGGCTTCTTTTTGGAAACAGGATTTGCTCTCTGATTCAGGAATCATTTTATACTGTGTACCCATCTTTCTTTAGTACTAAGTACGGGTAGGTCATTGCCTAGTCAAGGTTGCAAACCTCCTGCTTTTATATATATGAGTTACTCCATATTCTTTTTGTTTTTATATTTTGTTTCTTTCTAATACATGTTTTTCCAATCATTTCATCTTTTCCTGAAGGTCCTTGCCATTCTTTATAGTTTTCCATTTGAGACATATTAATGTTTATGTTATTCTGATTTGATGGCTATATTTTCACTGTTGCCAGAGAGTGTCTGTGTATACTTGGTAAAAGACAGACACATTGATTTCTAAATTCTATCCATTTATCAAGACCATAGATCAGGTTACAGGAAGCTTTCACTAAATTATGGCAGCTTTTTATTTTCTGATCAGCAGTAGCAATTATGTCTATACTAATCATGTAATTTTTCTATTATATGTAATTGTATATTGTTCTTGAGTTACTTCGTAAGTCTTGTCTCCTTAGCGACATTTGTAAGGTCTTGAAGGGTAGAGACCATGTCTTATATTTCTTATGTATAACACCTAACATAATTCTGGACACATATAGATGATAGGCATTTAATAAATAGTTGTTGGTTGAGTTGAGGGAATTTATAGACCTCATTTATTCTCAGAAGTAGACTGTTATGTATTTGTTTTTTATGATATCTAGCATCTCCATTACCTGTCCTTTTGGGTTGTTTTATTTGTGGGGCTTCAGGAAAGGTCTCTTTACTGGAGATTTGGTAATCTGTGCTCTTGTGAGTTCCAATTCAATTACCCCTCCTTTTTCAATATCTTTTTCCTTCTTCCATCTTTCTTTCAATATCTACTATCCCTTTCACCTCATCTACCCAGTAACATATGTTTCAGTTATATCTTCTATCCTGGATTGTGGAGATCTAATGCCTGGTCATTGCAAAACCAGGATCTAGTTTATAGCAAGCCCTATGACATACTGCAGCCTTGCCAGTGATGACTGGCTGCTCTTTTTTGGCTTAAATAACTGCTTTTTCTTAAAGGATCAGAAACTTACTTTAGTGTCTGAAGTCCTTATTTTTGGCTAAATGTGCTGGATGATAGAATTGTAGTTCTAACATGTGCCCTCTTTGTTGATGTTTATTAAACGGTTAGATGGTTGTATTCTCCAGTTCACCCTAACATCTTCATCCGAACACTTTCCACACCACTGTCTTTGTAGGACATTTTAAATCCTGAACATGTAATAGACGTTTGTTCAAGTGCTTACATTTCTGCCCTTGCAGTTGATGGTGGTGGTTGGGGGCCAAGCACCAAAGGCTATCCGGAGTGTGGAATGCTATGACTTTAAAGAAGAAAGGTGGCACCAAGTAGCAGAGTTGCCTTCCAGGAGGTGCAGGGCAGGTAAGCATGATCTATCATGGTCAATTCTCTACTCCTGGGTCATTGGGAGCTTTTTTTTGAGGTCTTATTTTATTAATTAGAAAAATTTCTATTAGAAAAGCTTTGAATGAAATAGCTATGTAGTTAAACAATAATTCAGAGGCCTTACACATCTCTCTTAAGACATTGATGGGAATAGCTACTCTCTCCATCTTTACATAGCTTTCTGATTATTTAGTGTCAGGTGAAAGAGCTAGTAATTTGCTGGATATTTCCTAATTACCTTTGCCTGAAGTGTTGAGAGGGGAATTCTTTAAGTTGGGACCCTTAGTTCTAGGAGATTCCCTCAACTATAAGGTGGAGTTAAGCTCCTCAGTTATAAGGCACAATTGCCTTCTTCAAGGCATCTGTTTTACTAACATTTGTTGAAATATGCTTTCATTTAGCCAAAACTGTGATCAAAAGAAGAAGTTATTATACAAACTCAGGATTTTTCTTGGGACTTAAGCTTGGTTCCATAATTTCTGTCTCCTGTAGCAAAATGAGTTCTGAATGTAATGAAATATTTCTATGATGGTAGCACTTTAACAATCCATCTTGGAAATTGTTGCATATCAGCATATCTGGAGTTACCTCATTCAGTAAGAGCTGTCTAGTATTTTATTTTGGTCTGTACATAGTATTTAATTGAGCATTTAAAATGTTTTTAATCAATGTTATTATAAACAGTGCTACAGCAAATCTCTTATACATACATCATTGTGTACATATGCTAATATATTTTGGCAGGGTAAAACTCTAAAGCTAGAATTACTGATTCAAAGGATGTCCTAGGAAGATAAACCAATTATTACTCCTGCTAACAGTAAAATATGAAGATGCCAGTTTCCCTAAACTCCTGACAGTACTTTGTAATTAAATGTTTTGAGCTTTCCCAATGTGGTGGGTGAAAAATACCTTAATTTGGACTTAGGTAATTGTGAGGAAAGTTAAATATCTTTTTCTTTGAATTGTCTGCTTGTTATTTTTGCCATTTTAATTGTTTTATTGATGTCACAGATACAGTTGTATGTTAAGGAAAGTAGCCTTTTTGCTATATAGCGTGAATATTTATTTGTATTAATCTTTTATCTTTTGACTTTGTGCTATTTTTTCCATGTAAAAACTTTATCTTTTAATGTAGTCCTGTATACCGAAGTTTTGTGTCTCTATACTTACAAATTTGTTTCTTGCATAGAAAAGTCATACGCCAAAATTATCTATGTGTGTGTGTGTGTGTGTGTGTGTGTTTGTGTGTATACACACACGAACATCTTTTAGAAAAACTTTATGTTGAAATAATTTTACTTACAAAAGAGTTGCAAAGATAGAACAAAGAATTCTGGTATATTCTTTCCCCAGTATTAATATCTTACTGTGATAGAATTATCAAAACTAGAAATTAGCCTTGGCATATTAACGGAAATACAGACTACATTTATATTTACCAGTTTTCCATTAATTCCCTTATGCTGTTCCAGGATCCCACTTTACATTTAGTTGTATCTTCTCATCTGAGTTAGTCCCATCATCTTTCTTATCTTTTATGCCCTTGATTCTTTGAAGAGGACTGGTCAGATATTTCAAAGAATGTCTCTCTAGTTGGATTTATCTGATGTTTTCCCATGGTTAAATTGACTTACTATTTCTTGTGAGGGTAACCTTGTTCACTTGGTTAAGGTGATATCTGCCAGGTTTCTACCCTGTAACAAGGTTATATTTTAAAAACATTTGTTGTTCTAGTACCTTTACAGTTTTATTTATCAATATATATTTAAGACATCTGGGATCTATTTTAGTATAAGATATAAGGTATAGATTTTGTTTTTTAATGGCTACTCAGTTGTCCCAATACTGTTTATTGACTTATGTGTCTCCATTCATTTGATGAAATGCTGCCTTTATTATAAACTAAATTTCTACATTTACTTGGTTTCGTTCTAAATTTGCTGTTCTTTTCCATTGATTTGTCCTGCCTATTCATGCCTTAAGACAAAGCAAATTTTAGTTTCTGTTCTTTATAATATGTTTTACTGTGTTACGGAACTAGTGATAGGACTCCTGTCTTCTTTTATATCCTTCAGTAAATTTTCAATGTTTTCTTCCATTGGTCCTCTGTGTTTCTTGGCAAGTTTATTTTTAGGTATTTTATCTTTATTGTTACTATTGGAAATAGAGTCTTGTATTCTATTTACTAACTGGTTTCTTAATTCGTATCTGATTCCTAGTATAGTTCCCTTTTCATTGGGGCCATAAGTCATTTGACTCAATTTATTGCAAAATGTATTGTTTACTTATTTGGTAACTATGAATAAATTTTATCTTTATCATGCCCTCTTCCCTCGCCTTTCTTCAGATTAGAGCCAATGTCCTTAACTGTGTAATCTTGGCCAAATTTTCATAAACTGTGTAATTAAACTTCTGGGTATTTCAGTTTCCTAATAACTTTCGGAGGTTATTATACTTCTTTTAGTTCATTCCCTTCTCCAGACCAGAACTTTTGTAGGGGGCGCTTTATGGAGTAATTCATTTATTTTCTTCTTCTCTGTGACCTAAAATTCCCTAAATCTTCGTAAGCATACTATATTACCACTAAGAGATGGCATATTTGTTGTGTTATTTTGTGTATAGAGAAAGAAAAATGAAAACTGCAATGGGTAAAATTCCTACAATGAACATTCCATGGAGTTAGTTATGATTTTGGGATACAAGATTGTTTTATGCTGAAATATGCTGCCGGTTCTGTTGCTGCTCACTGGTCTCCAGGCCCTTTTGGGAGGTCTGTTACATTCTGTGCCAGCAGGGGGCCAAAACATGCAATTTCATTTGAACTGGAAAGGTCTTGCCATATGGAGGTCTGCATTTCCATGTATTTTTATGGGGCTGGGGGAATAAAGCACCAGAGGATAAGTCAATAAGGGGTAGAGGTGTATCTCTTGCCTGATGACATCTATAAAACATTGAGCTAGTCAAACATACCTGGTGATTCCAATTCTCCCTACAGGAATTCAGAGAACTGTCAGCCACATTACCTGCCCTCAGGCTGGCACAGGGACATAAACATTACAGAACTAAGAACAATAAAAATTTGAACAATTTAAAGTAATTATAGACTGTAAATTTATTAAATCTCAAGTGCACTCTATAAATGTTATTTGCCATAGGGGTTCAGGAGCTGGACATAATCCCTTTTGGGCTGAAGTGGACAGGGAAGGCATCATAGAGAATGTGGAACTTTAACTGGGGATTCAAAGTTAAAGAGAGCAGAGTGGATGGTGATAGGAGCCTCTCCAATTAAGAGAGCACCATCAAAAAAAAGTTGGGAAAAGGGAAAAGACGGTTGAACGCTTTAGTCTAGCAGTTCAGTTTCTCCATTCACTGATTCCATAATATCTCTTTAGCCCAGGGGTCAGCAGACTTTCTCTTGAAGGACCAGAGAGTAAGTATTTTAGGCTTTGTGGTTATATGGTCTCTGTCACAGCTCCTTATGTACCGCTATAGTGCAAAACCAGCCATATGTAAGTGAATGGGTGGGGCAGTGTTTCAATAAAACTATATTTATGGATGGTGAAATTTGAATTTCATATAGCTTTTTATATGTCATGAAATATTATTATTCTTTTGGTTGTTTTTCAGCCATTTAAAAATATAAAAAACATGCTTAGTTTATGGGTTCTACAGAAATAGTTGGTGGGCCAGATTTAGCCTGTAGGCTGTAAATTTGCCGACCCCTGATTTAGCCCACTAACATGATAAACTAGGAGCATATTATGCAAATAAAACATACAGAGTTTCATTCTAAGAATATCCACTAGAAAATCCAAAATTGAAAGCTATGGGAGATGTGTACAGGTTCAAGTAGTTGGAAAATAATGGCTTATTATTTAAACTTGTAAATTGATATTTGAAAAAAATCAAGAATCAAAATAGCACTTTAGCCCATGCCATTGCATTTTTTAATAACCTTAGAAAGAAAGACAATTTAGCGATTATATAGCGATTATATGTTCTTACAAATGAATGGCATTTTCAAGGATTTATTTAATCAGGCTCCTCCTAAGAGTAGCATGTTCTGACAACAGCTATAGACTTAATAGAAAGCAATCTTTGGATATTGGTGGTAATTGAGTTGCATGTTGATCTTTAAATCTTGAACTCCTTTTGCAGGGATGGTCTACATGGCTGGACTTGTTTTTGCTGTTGGTGGCTTTAATGGCTCATTAAGAGTTCGCACTGTAGATTCCTACGACCCTGTGAAGGACCAGTGGACCAGTGTTGCTAACATGAGAGACCGGAGAAGCACTTTGGGAGCTGCTGTGTTAAATGGGTTGTTATACGCTGTGGGAGGCTTTGATGGGAGTACAGGTAATTTCCTTTTCAAAATTTCTTCTACATTGCTGCTAAAATTAACGTAGTAACCATGTTTATGGAATACGTTGTGGCAACATTAGGGCATATGTAAGGTTTTAACTGATACTTATATAAAGATAAGTTTAAAAATTTTATCAAAAATTTCCTTAAATGATGAGTGCTGAATATACAAATTTTCTTTCTTTTGCATAGGTATCAGTCATCAGGTTTTAAAAGCTTATAAATGTCAGTAGCTTAGTTAGGTAGGAGCCTTCTGGAAAACAAGCCGTTCCTGTTTCTCATGTAACTGACGTGTCTACATTCCACCATTTTCTTCTCTTAATTTTAGCCCAGTGTAACATACCTGAAGTATTTTTCTATATATGTGAACTACTGACTTTTTTTAGAGGAGGAAGTGAAGACTCTTGTGCTTTATTGTAGGTTTATCGTCTGTGGAAGCATACAACATAAAGTCTAATGAGTGGTTTCATGTAGCTCCCATGAACACAAGGAGGAGCAGTGTTGGTGTGGGTGTTGTTGGAGGTAGGTGCTGACAGTTCTTTCAGGTACGTAGGGCTTTTTGATTTTCGAGAGTGGTTCTTCCAATAATCTCAACGCTAGTTTTCTGAATGGGCAAGCTAATTAGCATTTTTAAAAGAAAAGTCATAATTACTGTAAAATTTTAATTATCCTCTTTTTAAAATTAGCTTGTCTATATAAATCAACCTCTATAAGGCCTTTCTCTCCCTCTCTGTCCCCCTCCCTTTATCTCTCCTCCTTTCTGTTTCTCTTGCTCTGTGTGTGTGTGTGTGTGTGTGTGTGTGTGTGTGTGTGACTTATATAACAGCAGTCCCCAACCTTTTTGGCATTAGGGACCGGTTTTGTGGAAGAGAATTTTTCCATGGACAGGGGTGGTTTTGGGGGAAGGTTTTGGGATGAAACTGTTTCACCTCAGATCATCAGGCATTAGAGTCTCGTAAGAAGCGCACAACCTAGGTCCCTCATGTGTGCAGTTCAAGATAGGGTTCGCACTCCTATGAGAATCTAACGCTGCTGCTGATCTGACAGGAGGCGGAGGTCAGGCAATAACACTTGCTCATCTGCCACTCACCTCCTGTTGTGCAGCCTGTTTCCTAATAGGTTCTATACCGGTAGTGGTCCACGACCTGGGGTTTGGGGACCACTGCTGTAAAAGACTGTCAACTGATTTTAATATAATTGTTTGGGGGAACAAGTCAGGTGACATAAATGTGTAATTTTGTATCTGGAGAACAGCTGTTTAACATTTAGGGGATAGATTGCCACAGTTATTTATTTATATCCTACTTTGTCTCCCAACAAAAGTTAAGGAAGGCTCTAAGTATTATTTTTTGGTATTTTTTTAAATTGGCTTGGGCAAATTTGCAGGTTTCCACCCTCTACTCATCATAGGTGTAATTCTCTGCACTTAGAAAAAAACAGCTTTATTGAGATATAATTCACGTACCATACAATTCACCCATTTCATGTATACAGTTCATTGTGCATCCATCACTACGATTCATTTTAGAACATTTTTATTATCCTCTAAAAGCAATCCTGCTTCCCTTAGCTCTTATTCCTGTCCTCTCCAGCTCTCAGCAACTACTAGTCTGCTTTCTATCACTTATAGATTTGCCTCTTCTGAACATTTTACTCATACAGTATGTGATCCTCGGTGACTGACTTCTTTTGCTTAGGGTGATGTTTTCAAGGTTTATTTATACTGAGGCATTTATTAGTACTTCATGCCTTTTTATGGCCAAGTAATATTGTATTGCATTCTGTGATATTAATTTCTGATTTAACCTTTTTTCCAGTTTCCTGAGATAACTTTGATATTTAATTCTATCTTACAGGATGTTGTTCACTTATCAGATAGTGTTATCTAAAGATGTAATGAGTGTGCTTTCTATTTTATCATTCAGATTATTGATGAAAGTATAAAATTAACATCATCATCTATACCCTGCAGATCTTCATAATACGATTTGATGACTGCACCTGTCACCATTAGGCAATATAGTTCATAAAAATCAGTAATATAGTTCATAAAAATCAGTAGCACTTTAAGGGGAAACTCTGCTGCCATGGAGGAAAATATACTAATATTTTATGGCGTGAAATAAAGTGTTTTTTTAATAAATTTGGCTTTCTTTGTGATTTTATGTGCAGGTTTGCTCTATGCTGTAGGAGGTTATGACGGAGCATCACGTCAGTGTCTTAGCACAGTAGAATGCTATAATGCTACAACAAATGAGTGGACCTATATAGCAGAAATGAGCACCAGACGGAGTGGAGCAGGTACATGTGAACCTATTTTAGCAACTGAAGCACAAAAATGATGGAAAATAGTTAAAGTAAAATGATTCATTGGCATCACTTTACCTTATCTGAAAATATATGCTGATATTAATGGCTCTGCCAAATGTCTTTTGAATTGTGCAGGGGTGGTAGCTGCACTTTTACTTTGTAAAATATAATGTCTGTGTGCTGTAGTCATTTCTGTTTCATCTATATATTCACATTGTTTAGCACTCCTTTTAGTTTTTTGTTTCAGTGCTTCTTGGGGAACTTGCTTAATAATCAAGTCTTTTCATTTATATTTCTTAAAATTTTGTGCTTTAATATGGGGTTATTTTATTGCGGATATTGATTTCAAAAGGATTACATTAAAGGACTTTTTCACTCCCTGTGTTTCACCTACATATTATTAATATTTTTATTTTGTTTGACATGCCTCTTTTTTCAGAATAATAGTTTGTTGAGATGCTTGTTTAATCATCAATTGTATTCATTTTCATTTCTTAAACTGTAGGCTATAATATCAGCTTGTTTTTATTATGAGTTATAACTTCAAAAGTTTTAGTTACAGGTCATTTAAATATAATATGATATAAATCTCTTGTTCTTTTTGCCCCTCTATTTGTCTGGTTGTTTTTTATAGGTGTTGGTGTGTTAAACAATTTATTGTATGCTGTAGGAGGTCATGATGGCCCTTTAGTACGAAAAAGCGTTGAAGTATATGATCCCACCACTAATGCATGGAGACAGGTTGCAGATATGAACATGTGCAGAAGAAATGCAGGTATCTGTCAGTTTAAGGTTATGAAACTTATGTTGAATTTTATTTTAAGTTTCACTAGTATCACTGTGTATTTCCATTGTTTTTTTACTGATCTGAGTTCCCTGATAGACTTTAAATTCTTTAAAGGCAGAAACTTATGTAATAATCCTATAAAGTGAATGCCTACTGTAATCTCTGGAACATAACAGGTTGTTATGACACTTCAGTAAACTTATTTCTACTAGCTGCTACTTTTTGGTGATAAATGTGGAGACTAATTAATTAGGAATAGACCCTTTATTAGATATTTGAATTCATTCATTCTTACCGCAGATAATTTTGTGTGCCTGCCATGTATCTATCACATACTGAAGATCCTACTTCTCAGGGAATTTAGTCTAGTTGAGTAAATATTTATACTAGGTAAAAAAGCTAGTTGATTAATATACATCTAGAGGGGAAGTCTGAAGATGTAACTCTGAGTTAATACAGTTCAGGATTTCCAGAAAATGGAAAAACTAAAGCAACAATAATGAATACTTGTAAGAAAGTAGAGGACTTCAAGGTTAGGGAACTAACTACTTAAAAAGAAGAATCAAGGAAGGGAAATCCAAATGGAAGATAGACTCAGGATAGCCACGTAGCCTTTCGGGAAATGCTAGGCTTCTTCAAAATGCCATTATCTCCATGTCATTTCTCATAGTGTAAAATAAGTTCCTGGTGAGTCTAAAACTTACTGTACACCATTAGACACCCCCCTCCTTCAGTGCTCATCTTAGTTTCTCTTTAAGTGTGGTTACTAAGAGAGACCAAGTATGTGGGACTGCAAATACTGTCAGGAGCAGACCAGAATTTATCATTAATTCTGTTTTGCCTTGCATATCTTCTAGTCAGTTGTATTTGGTATTCAGAATGATGATAAGACCCTCAGATCTGGGTCCTTACTAGAATAAGTGACTCTAGTACACATTAAGTTAGAAAAGCCACAGTGATTTGTGTGTGTGTCTACCTGGGTTAGGAAACTTTAGTTGCGATTTGAGCTTTTTATGAATATTTTCTTAAAGGTTAAAATAATCTACACCTATAATCCCAGCACTTTGGGAGGCCAAAGTGGGTGGATCACGAGGTCAAGAGATCGAGACCATCTTGGTCAACATGATGAAACCCTGTCTCTACTAAAAATACAAAAATTAGCTGGGCATGGTGGCACACGCTTGTAGTCACAGCTACTTGGGAGGCTGAGGCAGAAGAATTACTTGAACCCAGGAGGCAGAGTTTGCAGTGAGCCAAGATTGAGCCATTGCCCTCCAGCCTGGGTAACGAGCAAAACTCCATCTCAAAAAAAAAAAAGTTAATCTTATTTTTTCTCTATATGTGTTTCTTGTTTTCATATCAAAATTAACTCATTTCTTTTAGGTAGAAGAATAAAGAGATAATTTTTTTTTTTTTTTTTTTTTTTTTTTTTT